ATCAATGTAGGAAGAAGCAGTCTTTACCAATTCATATATGTTACGAGAACAACAACAACAACAGCAACAGTTATGAATAAGGATAATAGGAGGTAGGAGGTAAGAGGTAGGAGGAAGGAGGTAGGAAGTAGGAGGTAGGAGGTAGGAGATAGCTCAATCCATGCGATAACACAAATCAAACTTAAAACTCGAAAAAACCTATTTATATGCTTTCTATAACCGTTTATAGGGATAGTATTATTAAATTGCAAGTAAAAATCTTGCAAGTAAAAAAATGACTTAAAAGAAAATCAAGGTGAAAGCTATCTACCACGGGGAAATGAAGGTCGAAGACACCCGAGCAATTCCCAATCCTGCACTGAGCCTTGGATTTCAGCAGCAAAGGAAAAAAGACCATGCGAAGACATTTATTAATTTCCGACACGTCATTCGCAGTCCCACCCCCAATCAATCACTTTGATAAGTTAGACATTGATTGGCAACTATCACTTGAATATAAATCAGACTTTGTACGGAATCTCCGTACCATAATAATAATAATATTATAATAATAACTTTATTTAAAGAGGGTAAAAACACTTTACAGTTATAAACCGATAAACTAGTGGCCCTCATATGCCCGCAAATGACTCTTGGGTAGTGCCGTGAAGACCCGTAGGTACTATTGCGCAATTTTGGCATTTTCTAAAGCAGGAAAATACGTTGACACGCAAGTATTTTTAGACTGGACTTCCACAGGCAATCCAGTAAAAAGCTCCGATTAACGTCTTGAAAAAGTTGTTCATTTGCCTATTTTGAGTTCCTAAATTTATCCAAAGTTGTTGGTAAATCACTTTCGGACAAGAAATCGCACCGTTTTGGATATTTAACAATTATTCCACGAAAGCAAGTCGTACATCGAGCCTCATAGCCAACGAAGCCTAAACGCACATTACATCGAGTCACATCATGTTTCTCTAAAACGTATTAAGAATCACGTTTATAGCAATAATTTAACAAATTTCCGGTTGTTTATCACGTGCATGGATCTTTATACCTGATAATAGTTCAACATGGATATCTTGATATAAAGATTTTGAAATCTTTATAAAGGATCAAAAGAGTGCAAGAGCATGGCACGAATAAGGACCCTAAATGCTCATTATTTATTCATGAAGTTTTGAAGTCGTTCAATAAACTCGCAGATCGTGCTTTATCAGGTCTAAAACCACTCGGCTACGCCTTGTAGTTTTAAACCTGATAAAACACTCCTGCTTATTTATTAAACTATACTTAATTATGCTTGAAGTCATCGTGGTAGAAAGAGACGGCATACCCCGCTAAAACATCGGATTTTTTTTTCACAAAAACAAACAAAAAAATGAAAGAGAAACGTTTTCAAGCACGCTCTGGCTTCATGCGAGAGCGATTTAATAAATCGAAGTCAGTTTTCTATGGGTATGTACTGTAATCGAACATGAAATGACTTCAAAAATGATCCAAACTCAAGTAGAAACCACAGGCTAACCACTCTAATGAATGAAGGAAATACTCTATTAAATGAAGGAAATACTAAATGGTGTCTTGTCTTTGTCTTTTTATGCGCGCGCGCTATCGTTTTTTTTTTTTGTCATCTCCCCTACCCCCCTTGGTAACAATTTTGTTTTTCTACTGTACAGTATATTATAGAAGAAAAACAAAATTGTTACCAAGGGGAGTAGGGGAGATGACAAAAAATCGATAGCGCGCGCGCATAAAAAGACAAAGACAAGACACCATTTAGTATTTCCTTCATTTAATAGAGTATTTCCTTCATTTATTAGAGTGGTTAGCCAGTGGTGGATCCACGAGCGCAGCGAGTCGAAAAAAATTAACAAAAAGACAAGTAAAAAACTTGAAAACGCCGTAACATCCGCTCCCTCAGTGGGCGCGTGACGGATGTCGTAAGCACAAGCAGGTCTAGCCTCTAATCGACAATGGTTCTAAGCCAATCAGCGCGCGAGAAATTTCCATGTTATGGTAAAATCGTAATTTGTTAACGTAATTTGTTGGTTTGTCCTCTCATTACCACGGCTCCCGACCAATAAAAAAGCGAAACAAAAAAACACCAAACGATTGTGGCCCAAAAACATTTACTTGGTCTATGACGTCACGATTAAATAAAGAATATTGATTTTAAATCCAAAACTTCTTTATTGGTTGCTATGGATTTTGTAAACTTAAACGTTTCTTCAACGAAACTAAAATAACTGACTTTTATTGCCAATTAATGATTTATGCATTTGTAATAATGTTCGTAATAAATAATAATAACATAACATTGATTTCGTCATAATATCTTCAGGAAATGAATTTGTCATAAAATACGTTATCCATTCAATCTACAAAGTGCATATACATTTAATATACATTTCTATATCTACATATGTATTGGCTTGTCTTCTTATTCCGCAGGAGACCACAGTATCTGGATTGGTGGTAGCGTTGAAGAGCACGAAACTGATCTGACAGGTGTTGACATGAGCCATGCAATTCCCAGAAGACTGCTTGACAACGCCAAGGCTTTCTTTCCTCCGCTGCGAGCATTTGATTATAAAGATGTGGACCAAGTCATTGCCGGACTACGCCCAGCTCGTGAGGATGAGATCCGTAATGAGATCGACCCTGAATGTGCATCACTAATCCATAACTATGGACATGCTGGAAACGGGATTTATCTGTCTTGGGGTTCTGCAGTGGATGTGGTAAAATTGGCTGATAAGGCGGTTGGCATTTTTTCTAAACTTTAATAGCAAGAATAACGACAAGTGAAGATTATCACAAAAATCTTTGCTTGAGGACACATTTCATGTTGATCTTACATTTACATGGTCATTAGTTCCTAAGTGTCCTTGTCATCGTACTCGATAATAACTGAACCCCAGGCAGTTTTAATTGTTTGTTTGAACTCCATTGATTATTTTTTGGCCGTTCTCGGCTCACTAGTTATCAGTTTTTACTAATACAACTGTATTAATTTTCCAAGACAATTCTCTATTGATTTATATCGTTAGTCAAAAGGAAATGCCTAGCATGGGACCTAGAGTCCCGYTCGCACTTTTCGCTTTGGGTAGCATGTTGATTCTGTAATTTTCCTTCCTGATTGATACCCAATAAAAGTTGTAAACTAGTGACGATCAAAATCACAATCACAATCTTGATCTTATTGTTGATATCAATGAAATGCTTATTAAACATCATTAGTGATAACATCATGTATAGTTTGTCCGTATTTAATGTAAAGTAAAGGCTCATTCAGGGTATTCAAAACATTTACTCCCCAATGGAGGCAAGAGAAAATGAACTAAGAGAAGGAATTCCCCCTATATAGCCTTGTGATAACATCATGTATAGTTTGTCCGTATTTAATGTAAAGTAAAGGCTCATTCAGGGTATTCAAAACATTTACTCCCCAATGGAGGCAAGAGAAAATGAACTAAGAGAAGGAATCCCCCCTATATAGCCTTGTAACCATCATGTGCATAGTTTAGTACGTATTAACAAGAGAATAGTATTCTCTTGTTAATACGTACTAAATGAGGCGCCGATAAAATTAGCTTGTTCAACTTCCAAGACTCTATAGCATATCTGTGCTTCTTTTCATTTCGGCTTGCTGGTGGTATGTTTTAAAAATAGCATCAAACTGTGCACATGATGGTTACGAATGTGAAGCGCATTGAGGTATTTGAACCCGGGGGGGGGGGGGTACTCCCCTATATTTGCTATACGGGTATGTGCCGCCCTATAGGGTATGGTTTTTCGGCTTTTGGGTCTGGGGTAGGGTATCATTTTTTGACATTTTGTCTGGGATAGGGTATCATTTTAGTCTGGGATAGGGTAAAGGATTTGGTCGTTTTTGTCTGGCGAATAGGCTACGCTTTCTGCCGACCAAAAACAATAAAAATGTTAGTAAATATTGATTAAAATCGATTGTAAAACCGTATTTTCCGTCTTTAGTCTGGGATAGGGCGTACAATTCTTAGTTTTAGTCTGGGGTAGGGTATGTAAAATCAAAATTTTAGGTCTGGGATAGGGTCAGGGTTTTGAGGTCCTGGCGGCACAC